GGGGGTGGGGGCGGCGGAGGGGCGGAGGGTGGTGGTGCCGGTCCGCCCCACCCCCCAGGGCACCGCGGCCTGGCCCTCCTTGCCCAGTGGCCAGGGGACTGGCCTTCACCCTTCCCCCACCCCGTTCCAGAGCATGCACCTTCTGCAGCGTTACCGATGAATCATTAGGCGAGACACCGTGTGCAGGAAAGTGCACACAGCGTGCGTGCCTAAAGACTAGTTAGTAATAAACAGGCAGGTTAAAAAAAAAAACACAGCATTGCCTCCCCCACCTCCTGTTCCTTTATTGAGCACCTTCCCTCCTCCTTCCGCTGACTTCTGTGATACTCACTTTCTTGCTTTTCCTTATAGCTTCCCTACCGACGTCTGCGTGCCTAAACCGCGCCGTTTTTACTCTGCCTGCTTTTGAACTTCTGCGAAATTGTGTGTGTCATTTCGTGGCTTTTCTTTCCTAGTAAGTTTGTGCAGATCCCTAGGTAGTTTTCACTGCTGTCTAGTACTCCGCTGTATAAATACAACCGTCTGTCCATGCTACTGGTGATGGGCAAATTTTGCTCTTCTGGTTTGTGGCTAAGAACAATGCTCTAACATTCTTATCCCTATAGACAGGTGCCACGTGTAAGTTTTTTGGGAGATAGGTGCCTTTGAATCCTAGAATTTTTGAGGTATGGGGTATGCATAACTTTGCCACATGATGCCGGACTTTTATTTGGGGTGCAGCAAGATTAGCTTCCCAGCACACACCTTTCTTTGGTTTTCAGTTCCTGGAGTCCACTTTTCCCATTAAGACTAGGTTTTGGAGTCCCCTTTACCTGTTAAGATTAGGTTTTGTTATTGAGCTTGCAGAACTGCCAAGACAGCATTGAGTTTTGTTGTTGTTTTCATTTATATGTATTTGGCTGCATCAGGTTTTAGTTGCAGCAAGGGAATCTTGTTGAGGCAAGCAGGATCTCTAGTTATGGCATGTATGCTCAGTAGTTTGTGTTAGTTGCCCTGCGGCCTGTAGGGTCTTAGTTCCCTGACCAGGGATTGAACCAGCGTCCCCCTGTATTGCAAGGCAAATTCACAACCACTGGACCACAGGGAAGTCCCAGCGTTGAGTTTTTAGTGATGCTTTTCAGAGTAGCAGTTGTCAGGTTTTTTCATTTTGTGAATCTAGAAAATCTTACCGGGAGTCTTCTCAGTGGTCTTTTAAGTATTCTTCCCTACAGCATTTGATTCTAAAGGCAGAGGAACCTGTAGAAGTGATAAAATGCCCCCCACCTGTCCTTGTTTCCTCTCTTGGTGCCTCTGGACCTTTGTGGAACCAGAGTTTCTACATTCCGAGCTAGGTTATATCTGTCGACTCCCTGGCACTTTTAAGTGACCTTTTTTGCCTTGTTAGACAAGTGAAGTCAGCAAGTCGGTCTGCCCTCCCATGCAGCCTTTCCTGAGATGTGGATCCTTTCTGAAAGGCCTGTCCCAAGAGAGCATCTTCACTCCACCTGCTCCCTTTCTCGGGGCTTTGACCTCGGCCTCCCAGGTCTCGGGTTTGAGGGCTCACCCACAATTCACTGGTGCGTGATGTGTTCTTGAGCTTTCCATTCGGTAGCTGCAGTTCCCCTCCATGAAGGAAATCATATTAAAAACTTCTCGCATGTGAGTAGTTGTCTGCAAAAGCCATGTTTCTACATGAGTTTGGGTAAAAAGACGTTGAGTTTTCTCCTTTGAAGTTATGGAACTTCCTACACTTCCTGTGTTTGTCTGTGCTGTTTTTTTTCCTGGAAGCTTTGGAAAAGACCAAAGGGAAGTGAGTGGGACTTGTCTTAGTTCGCTCCTTTCTCAGGCTAGTTGGAAGCTAGTTCTCATCTACAGCTGTTTTATCAGCTTCACTTAAACACGGTGGTGTCCTTTGTGGCAATGTGCCAAGTTTATTCAGTCCTCCCAAGAAATACATACTTAGAGCTCTGATTAAAGAGGGCTTGGGATGCTACTTAGTTCAGTTGTGGGGAAGGCGTGGCTAGGTTTTATCATGGGTCTGTGAACTCCTTGAAGATGGTTAATAATAGTAATCAAAGTATCGTAGCTTCCATTTATTGAGAGCCTGCCAGCATGCCAAATGTTTTACCTTTATTAACTCATCAACTCCACAAAACAAGGATTTTTTTGTGGGGGAGGCCCCAAAAAGTAGCTGTTCAACATAAGTTTGTTAATTTTATGTATTTTACTTACAAGGAAGCTGATATCCAGATTTTGCACAAGTACGCAGTTGTCTGACTGCAAAACTCGTTCTTCTTCAATATATTAAGCTGCTCGATAAGAGTTGGCCAGCTGCATGGTAATGAAGCCACTGCGGCGGTCAGTTCCTGTTCTATCAGTTATCAACACCGTTCCCAAGATCGATGTGTTTTGTTTCTGTAAATCTCAAATCGTTAAAGACAGAGTACTAATCACTTGTTTTCATTTGACAGGATCCTATGAAATAGATGAGATACCATGTTTTATACATTCCATACCCTTTTCTTGGGATTTCAAGCAAGTAGCGCATTCAGTGCATTTAGAGCGAGGCCCTGTAGTGCGTGTCACTGAGGTCTTCAGAAGGTGCCCACCTCCCGGAAACCAGCAGTCTCTAAGTTGCTTGATAGGAATAGTAGACGTCTTAAATCTTTGAGCATTGAAGCCTAATTTTCCGCCCTGAAGGGAGGAAGCAGGCACTGGCCTTTGTGTTTATTATTAAAGTAATACATCCTGGAAAAGAATTCAGACTGTAGAATTTTATCCTGGGAAAGATACGAATCTGGCTCTCCCAGGCCAGCTGCCCACTTGTAAGCGTTTTAACCTTTGCTATTTACCTTTCCTGCCTTTTATTTATTTGTTTTTTTAATTCCAAAAAAACCTCTGCATCAGAGAAGTGTGGTGGTAAAAGGAAGTTAAGAAATCCTCAAACCCCAGCCTTTTCCTTTTGCAGAAAATGAGCGGTCCTAAGAAGGAAGTGGCACCCCACTCCAGTACTCTTGCCTGGAAAATCCCATGGACAGAGGAGCCTGAGAGGCTGCCGTCCATGGGGTCGCAAAGAGTCGGACACGACTGAGCGACTTCACTCACTTAAGAGATTTAAGTGACAGCAGAATCGGAGCTGAGCTCTGGGCTCTGGTGCCTCCCGTGGTGCCTGGGCTCGAGCTGAGAACCTCGCCCCTGCTTACAGTCAGCAGCACTGTTTGGTCTCAGGCCAGTAGAACCTGGAGGACTGGAGCTCAGGTTGATGTTGGAACTCATTTTCAAGTCATCTCTTCAAGTAGATGATTTTATTTCTTTTTATTGTTTATCCACTGTAATCTTAGATGGGCCTCTTTGCAAACTGAAGTGGTGATATCAATACCTCATTTCTGAGTCATTAGCTCCTCCTCTTTTTTTTTTTTTTTGACTTTGATGATAAGAGAGACTGCTGGCGGAAGTTAACTATTGAAACCCCCAACAAGCCAATCAGACACCATTAGTAGTTGTCCGTGCGAGGGCTGGGGTTTCCACGTGGCCAGGAAACGCAGCCGAAAGGGCCACAAACCTGATTCAGTAATTAGAGCCTGGGAATCTTGACATGGGATAACATTTGCTTATCTCTGAGCAGATGTGAGTCAGCCTCACTGCCCTTTGGACTTCTGACATGACCCAGCATCTCCTAATTTAAACAGAAGAGACCTGACCATAATAAAAATCTAAAACTGTCCGCACGGTCCACCCCGAGATTGGTGGAAGCTCTTTTCTTCGGTTTCACTTAGCTGTTCATCTGAGTGTTCTTTTGAATAAAATCCTGAGGTGAAAGCTCCTCTGAGTTCCTGGTGTGTGCTTTCATTAAGGATACTCAAAACCTGTCATTAGAAAGTTCCTGATGCATCAGACCATTACTATGTATAAAACCGATGAACGCTGTCTTTGATCTGTTTTGTTTGCTTAAGTTTCTTCCATGAGAGGTCATTCATTTTCTTACTAGTTTTTCAGGTCCTTTTCTGAAGCGTTAAGACTTTCACACTCAAAGTTTCCTTTTAACAGAAACTCACCTGATTAATGATGCCATTGAATAAAGCTATTTTCAGGGCAGTACATTATACAAATAGAGGATTTTATTTATAAATAGTTATATATGTGTCGTTGAATATTTATTGCCTTTATTTCCCTTTAGGTGTCTTATAAGATTTTAAGTAACTTTAGTGTTTGTCATCTGAAAGAAATAAGAATTACCTGTGATATTTGGATTCTGATGTGGTCTGGCTAACTTCCCTCATACTTATAGAAATCAGGTATTATTTTCCTCCAGTTGAGTGATAACTTTCTCAAGTGGGAAGGATCCTTTCATATGTTCCCTTTTCTCTTCATAAGGAAATTCAACCTCAGAGTCATTCTGTGTTCCAAGCAGTTCACAGAATTCTGAACCATAAGCTGAGCTTAGTCCCAGGTGAGGCTAGTAGTTTTCCAAGCACCAGAATTTTCATGAATTCAGGTAGTCTCAGGATAGCTGTAAAAGGCCATATGTTCTACAGTCTTTTGACTTTTCAGATTGCTAACACCGTAAGGTAAGCTGCTCCTGTTGTATTAGGTCCTGCTGTGTGCAGGACTCCGCGCCAGGTAAGGCAGGAATGTTTGCAGAAGCAGACTTTTTGCTTCCCTGTGCATGCGTGGTGCATTCCATCACCTTCAGTGAGGGACAGGACGGGGTGTGATCTACCTGGGGAATGCTTGTGGTGTTCAGGAGTAAGGAAAGAGGCCCTGGGCATGAGGAATGTCTTTTACTCCTTAACACTTTATTTTTTCCTTTGTTCTTGTCTGTGCTGGGCCTTCGTGGCTGCGTGCGGGCTTTCTCGAGTTGCAGCAAGTGGAGGCTACTCTCTCATTGAGGTGCACAGGCTTCTCACTGCGGCGGCTTCTCGTTGCAGAGCACGGGCCCTGGACTCTCGGGCTCTGTAGTTGTGGCTCACGGACTTAGTTGCCCTGCAGCATGTGGGATCTTCCCAGGTCAAAGATCGGACCCCTGTCCCCTGCATTGGCAGGCAGATTTTTAACCAGTAGACCAGCAGGGGAGTCCTCTTCTTTAATAATTAAAAAAAAAAAAAACAAAACTCATTGCTGGAGTTATCCTTTAATGGGCACTAAAAAAGCAACTGTATCAGAGGTCAGCTACATTTAAGTTGTTTTTATGGATAGACGTCATTTTCACTGTACTGTTTGTAATGTTCGTCTTGTTTCTTTTCCTTTTAGACCTGGAATGGCCAAATATCAAGGTGAAGTTCAGAGTTTGAAACTGGATGATGATTCAGTCATAGAAGGAGTAAGTGACCAGGTGCTTGTGGCGGTTGTGGTCAGTTTCGCTTTGATTGCTACCCTGGTATATGCACTTTTCAGGTGAGACCACAGGACAAAAGAATAATGCATATTTCCAAGGGCAACTGACTTTCTGACTATGTCTCGTAATGTTTAATACTTAATGTGGAAAGGAAGTACTAGACTTCAGTGACTGTGATAATGTACTAAGGTATTATATTTTCCTGTCGTCAACTGTCTAGTCAGAAAAAGTTTAAATTTGTCATCCATATTTTGAATGAAATGTTAATATTTTCCGTTGGACTATCACAGTTTTAACATGTAATTTTCATAATTGAATTCATCAAATTGCAGCTGATACAATAGGTGCAAATATTTTCATGTTTAAATGGAAAAACCTGGGGCCAGAAAACACTTTGGACAGTGTTGAGGGACTTAAGATTAGAATTAAAGTTACTGTTACGGAATCAGGAATAATACTTAAAGATCTCAGATGTCTATATGCCAGTACAAGAGACAAGGTAATAAACTAGAAATGTAAATACTGACGAATAGAGGTTAATTTTGTATGTATCACTGAAAATAGAAATGAGCAAAAAAGTATAAAATAGAGATTAGTTCCACAAACTACAGATCTTTTCGTTTCTTATAACAATTCAGAAAGGATTATTGAACAGGGTGTGAGCATTCTCTCTTACCTCTGCATGGTTAGTTTCTGAATTAGGGTGATGCTGTTGATTTCAGCAGAACACTTGGTGGTGCACTTGGGGACATAGTGGGGAAATGGTGACCAGATGATGGCAGATGTGCCTGAGTTCGTAACTGGTTGACAGGTCATTCCCAGGAGTACTGACTGACGTTTTGATGTAAACCAAAAGAGGACACTGAATTTTGGTAGGGCTCTGACCTTTGAGCTTGTTCTACTCATCTCTGTGAAGAAGAAAACAGAAGCAGGTTTACTAGATTGTTCATTGAGAAGGATAGCTGATGTATTGATAACAACAGAATCAGGGTTCAAAAATGGGTCATCCTGTGTCCTTGTGGCAGGCTGGTTCATGACCGTGGTACCAGCACCTTTCAGTAGAGAAAGCGCTCAACAAATGATGTTGGGACAACTGGTTCCCCACATGCAAGAGAATGAAGTACCCATACTCCATCATATACAAAAATTAACTCAAAATGGATCAAAGATTGAAATGTAAGAGCTAAAACTATAAAACTCTGGGAGTAAATCATGGAGATTCTTACATATGATGCCACAAGCATGATCAACAAAAGAAAATAGATACATTGGAATTCATCAAAAGTAACAACTTTTTTTTTTTTTTGCTTCAAAGTCCGTCATCAAGACAATGAAAAAAGAAAAAAAAGAAAAAAGACGATGAAAAGTCAGTTCACTGACTGGGAGAAAATATTTCAGATCACATGTCTGACCTGAAATATTTCAGACTTAGGCCCTTATGTCTGAATATGTAGAGAACTCAAAGCTCCGTAACAAAAAGACGAATAACCCGGTTAATAAATGGGCAAAGGATCAGAATAGGCATTCCTCCAAAGACGCACCAACGGCCAACAAGTGTGTGAATGCATGCCTGACATCCTTAGTCATTCAGGGAAGTGCAAATCAAACCACAGTGCGGTACAGCTTCACACCCACTTCACTAGGATGGCTGGGTTCAAAAAGTCAAGTAATAATGATCGTTGGGGGTGTGGGAAAATTGGAACCCTCATACACTGGTAGTGCAGGCCCTTTGGAAAGCCATCAGTTCCTCAAATGACTAAACATAGTGTTACCATGTGTCCTAGCGATTTCACTCCCAGGTATGTGTGCAGTGAGAAATGAAAGGATATCTCCATGTAAAAAATTGTACAGGAATGTTTGCAGCAGGATTGTTCCTAATATCCAAAAGGTGGAAACAGATGACTGGATCCATCAACAGGAAGATGGATAGACAAAATTTGGTAGGTCCATGCAAAGGAATATCATTCAGCTATAAAAAGAAGTGACACGCTGATGTATGCATGCTGCCTTATGGAGGAAACTTGAAAGCATTGTGTTAAGTGACGTAAACCAGACACAAAAGACCATGCGTTTGAGTCTGTTTGTACGTCCACAAAAGGAAAATCTGTAGAGACAGAAAGTAGATTCATGGTAGAATGTAGATTCATGGTAGAAAGTAGATTCCAGAGGGACTAGAGTGGAAGGTGGGGTTATAAGGAGTGATAGCTGAACATTTCTTTTTGAAGTGATGAAAATGTTCTAAAATTGACTGTGTTGATTAATTATATCTCAGTAAAGCTGCTTTTAAAATGAGTTGTGACTAGGTAAATACCAAAAAAAAAAAGTGTTCCTTACCCATTAAGAATGGGATATAGATACGAATTTATTATCATTTGAAAGTATCCATGATAAATTGTTGAGTGAGAATTAAGTGAAAAACACATCACAGAACCATAGGTCAAGTAGCCCATTTTGTTTTTGAGATGGATTTTTATAAATTAATTTTATTGAAAAATAGTTTTCCTTTATTTTTCTAATTTCTCTATTAGGGATAATTATTACTTGTAAATAAAAGTTTTTTCCTCATAGACTGCAGTGATGTGAAACCCAAAATAAAAAGTTTCTATTAATAAAGCAATTGTGTATTGTAGATGCCAAAAACTTAACCAGCATTAGAGTGTGTTAATCAGAATAGTCAGATAAAGTTCACATATAGATTATATTCAGCTTGGGTCAAGCATTTTAAACTGGAAAAGATTCAGGGGAGATTATCAAAACAGGTAAAGCTATGGGATCAAACCATATCCAAATGCTTGAAAGAACTGGGGATGTCTCGCTTAGGGGAAAGACTGTAGGATGCACAAGCTTTAAATACGACGAGGGTGTGTTTTGTTGAAGAAGAGAAAGGTTTGTTCTGTGTAGCTTCACGGGCTGAACTAGGGTGTCCAGGAAAGACCTGTAGACATTTGCTTTTTCTGCAGTGAAGGGACCCGTTCGTACTGTTTCTGTCTCGTGTGTCTCCTTTATTCTTATATGGAGCTCTTTGCTTCTGGTCACCTAATGTGTGTGGCTTTTCCCCTGCCAAGCAGTTCTTTTTGACACCATCTGGGTGTCCCACAATTTAACTCAATTCTGACCCTGTCTGCCTGGAGACACTGTCAGATCGTCTCACAGGTTAAGGGCTCAGTCCCACCACATTTCTGATGCCAACAGCCAGTAATAGGTCCCCAGGTTACGCACAGCCTCGGTCTGATTTCTGTCCCCAGGTTTTCCACCAGAAGTCAGAGGCTCTCGTGACCCCCACCTCAGGTTCGATTAACTTTCCAGAGCAGCTCACAGAACTCGGGGAAGCAGTGGGCTTACCAGTTTATTAAGGGGTGTGATAAAGGATACAGATACAGACACAGGTGACGAGGACACGGTGAGGCCTGGGGGCGGGGGGTGGTCCTGAGTGCAGGAGCCTCTGTCCCTGTGGGGCTGGGGTGTGGGGTCCTCCCCCTCCTGGGGTGGATGTGTTCACCTGCCTGAAGCTCTCCAGGGATTTTTATGGAGGCGTCTTCATGCAGACGTGATCAGTTATTAACTCTGTTTCTGGGCACGCTCCTCTTTCTGGAGAGTGGGGCCAGGCGTCGGGGGGTGGGGGACGCTAAAAATTCCAGCCTTCTGATCCTGTCCTTGTTCCGGTGACCAGACCTCATCCGGGTGTCCTCCCAGAGTCGCCTCCTTAGAACAAAAGACACTCCTGTCACCCAGGAATTTACAAGGGTTTCAGGAGCTCTGTGTGAGGGACCAGGTCAGAGACCAAATATAGAATAAAAGGTGCTCCTAATGCGCTTATCACTTAGGAATATACAAGTGTTTCTGGAGGTCTGTGCCAGGGACCAGGGGCAGAGACCAGTGTGTGTATTTCCTGTTATCTTATATAGGCCCAGCAGGTGGAGATGAATGACGAGGTTTTAGCTTAACTTAAGATACGACTTTTCAGATAACATAAGGTGCTCCCCCAGTGCCCAGATGCCGTATTGAATCTGTCGCACGATTGAACTCGGGTAGCGAGGTCAGTTTAAGTTGCTGTCTGACTGTTCAGATTGAAATTCAGTTTGCAGCTGTAATCCTGCCCCTTCAACTGGAGTCATCAATAAGTTGGAGGATAGGTAGCATGCATTGTATAAGAGTCAAACAAAGGAGGCTTTTGTCTGTTTTCTGTAATATCTGTGATGTTTTTAGTCATTATGATTCATTTCTTCACATTGTGGTGAAATACCCGTAACATAAAAGCTGTCATTTAAGTACTCGTTGGCATTAAGAACATTCACAGTGTTCTGTAATAGACCCTCACCACTGTCTATTTCAAGAACTTTTTCACTATTTGAAACAGAAACTACCAGTTAAATAATAGCTCCCTATTCCTCCTCTCCCAATCCCTGGTAACCTTTGTTCCACCTTCTGTCTCAGGAAATTAGGCTAGTTTACATACCTCATAAACAGGAATTAGATAGTATTTTGTCCTTTTGTGTCTGGCTTATTTCTCTTAGTGTAATGCATTCAAGGTTCATCTATGTTGTATCACCCACCAGAATTTTGTTCCTTTTTTTATGGCCGAATAGTATTCCATCGCATGTGTATACTGTATTTATTCATCTGTTGATGGACATTTGGGTTGTCCCCACCTTCTGGCTATTGTGAATGGCGCTCTGTGAACACGGGGCTACAAGTTGAGTGTTTGAGTCCCTGCTTTCAACTGGAATTGCTGGCTCATGCAGTAACGCTGTGTTTAACTTTTTGAGGAACATTTAATCTGTTTTTCACAGCAACTGCCCGGTCTTAACATTCCCACCAGCAACACACAACTGCTCCAGTATCCCTGCACCCTGGCCAACAGTTGATACTTTCTGGTGGTTTTTTTTGATGATCATCCTCGTGGATGTGAATTGGTATCTCATTGGGGTTTTGGTTTGCATTTCACTAATGACTAATGATGTTGGACATCATTTCATGCTTATTGGTGATTTGTGTATCTTCTTTAGAGAAATGTTTATTTCATCCTTCATGCATATTTGAATTAGGTTTGCTTTTTAG